TATTTAATATTTAGTTATAATTTTTTAATTATATGTATAAATAATTATATTGTATATGAGATATCAAGATATTTAACATTTTGTGATTATAAAAAATCAATTTTATATTATTAAATTTAATATTTGATAGTATAGACTTAATGTAATATATATTTATTTTCATAAAAATTAAAATAAAAAATATGTGTTTAGAATTTTGGTAAGTATAATTTTTTTATTAGGTATTTTACTGTATCACCGACAAAGAGTATGTTGCTAAAATTATGGTTGATACTATTTAGAATAAACATTAGCAACAATGGGTAGGCTGCTGAAAATGTGGGTGGAAGTATGCAAATAAATATCAACAACATAGTTGTTCTTGATAAAGTTGAAAATTAGCAACACGGCATACGTTGTTGAAAACTTGGGGATGTACTATTTTTAAACTTTCAGCAACGTGGCTCTTGTTCTTAAAAATGGGCAATCAGTTTCAACAACAAGGCAAATGTTGCTGAAAAGTGGAAAACCACCCTTTCCCCTAAACTTTTAGCAACATGAGCACGTTGTTGAAAATATAGTTTCAGCAATGTGGCTCTTGTTGCTGAAAATGGGGTCATATTCTAATGCTGGAATATGGTAAATTTTTTTACCAACTTGGATTACGTTGTTGAAGCTGTGCAATTAGCAACAAGGCATATATTGTTGAAAAGTGGAAAACCACCCTATCTCTTAAAGTTTTAGCAACAAAAGTCACGTCGCTAAAATTGTTACTGAAAATGGTGGAATAAACTCTAGCACCGCTTATTGGTATCCGACAAAGAATATTACCAACATAAATCACATTGCTGAAAGTATATTTTGAGCAACAAAATGGTTGTTACTAATGTATCAGCCACCAAAACTTTTCCAACAAAGTTTTCAGCAACAAAAGCTACGTTGCCGAAAGGCTTTTACCAACATGACAAGCACTTTCAGCAACGTGCTCTTATGTTGCTAAAGGTTGGAATTTTAATAGTGTTATAAACTTTTCTCCTATAAGGTTATTTATGTATTTTCACATATTAATATTACTATAAAAAAGGGTAAAAATGGTATTTTAAGTTTTTCTTTTCCTTGACATAGTTCCCAACTCGTAAACTTTTCTTTTTGGAGAGAAAATTTCCCCTTTACTTTTCTTATGTAGGATTCACTTGACAACTTTCCTACTAACTTTTTCCTATACTAATTTCTCACCAAATATAAAAATATTAAGAATCCAATAAAATTTCAACAAAAACTTCACTATAAAACTTATCAATTTTTTGTATAATATTTTTTAATCACTTTTTTAATAAAAACATGACCTTATAAAAAAATAGCGCAAAACAAAATTTGGTTGTATTTCTAAAATTAAATTGGTCTTGAATGACTTGAAAGAAACAATTTTCTTCTATTTCTGTTGATTTTTAGGATCATATACAATTCAAAGCATTTTTTACTTTATTTAGATCTTTTTTTAGAAACTTTCATACAATTATTATTTTATTTCATTCCGTCGATGAGTACAAGTTTATCATCCTATGGAGTCTCATTAATGAATAATTTAAACAAATGATTGTCATTGCAAATCTAGGACATAAGATCTTAGTTGTTAAATCTCTAGCAGTCACAATTCGGTATTGTCAATTATCAATACAATTATATTATGTATGATGTTATATTAAATAAATGAAAATCATATAAAAGTAAAAAGAATCCATCACTTATCTAATTTAATTATTGTTTATTATAGGTTCTTACAAAGCTGAATCAGAACAAAATTATACCTAAAGTTAGACATTTTACAAGTCACTAATTACATTATTATATTAGTTATTCCGTTCTTAATGATTGTTATATCATTTTATTGCCTTTGAAATTGGAAGTAAGTTAATATGGCATTTTTGATTTACAAGTTTTATTATATTGGCAATGAATCAATTATTATGCCATCATACTGCCGGGTAAAAACAGGAAAATAAGTGTTTGATACTATTAGAAATGTTTAGAATTTAGCAAAAAAGCAAAATTTAGATAATAATAACTTTATTTTAATGTCTTTGAAAGGGGAAATATATGATTCAAGAGAAATTGACTTCCAGTAGAAAACTCATAGAGCTTAGCACATGTCACTATTTTAAAGAGCAAAAAGGTGTCTCCGACTAAGTTTTATTACTTAATTACATGCATACTAAAAATTTAAAATTTCAAAGATTTTAAAAGAAAAATTGACAATAAAAGAATATTTCTCGTAGCTTTTTAGCACTTTTTATTTAATTTTATATTTGTTGAAGCAGAATATAGAAAATGTACAAACAAGGATACAAACTTTTTTAATTTTGAAATTAGATGATGATTTTTTAATTTTTTTTAAATAAGAATACGAAATTTTACGAATTTTCTATTAAAGATTTATTATATAGGAAAGATGATGTGGTAGATGGTAATTTTAAATAGAACTTGATCCAACAAAATATTAAATAAAAAACTTACAAAATTTGTATATTTATTTAAAAAAATTAAATGGTGATCGTCTGATTTGGAAACACCATTATTGAATAAATTCATTGAAAATTATCTAAATATTTTCGCAACTTAAGCTACTATTTCTGTAGTTAAAATGTCTAGTTTTATCCGAATAAGGGAGCACAATGTGCCAAGTAGCTACATTTACATTTAAAGTAAGTTTTGCTAAATGGGCTACAAAAAATAGTGACAAGCAGCCCAACCGATAAACAAAAGGGTGAACTGAATGGCTCTAGGGCTGATGTTATTGTTAGGGTTTGAGGGCAGCTATTTAGCTATAAAAAACAATGTAAGGCGCCACACTCCGTGTCCAAAGGCAGTCGCCAGTTTTGATGGGGAGGCCTACGCTGCTCTTTCTCCATCATATGCTTCAAAGCTTCTCCATTGTTTTTGCCGTCAGTACCTCAGAAAATTTTTGGGTTCAATTCGATTTCTTCATTTCTTAATCACCTTTTAAGTTGGTGTTCTAATTTAACTGTCTCAAGAAGATTTATTTTGCACTAAAAAAGACTTAAGTCTGGAAAATTTTTTGATTCCCATAAATTCTTTTATTGCATTTTATCATATGAAAATTTTTTTGAGGGTTATAAAAGATGTATGTGTAAGATGTTTATTAGGCTCTCAATGATTGCACATAATTTTCAAGTTTCAGCCTTACCAGAAAGATGATGTTGAAAATTTACCATTTCACTCTGAGAGAGCCAATTTGGTTATGCACGAAATCATGCTTTTGTGCTATTGTTTTTGTAGTATGATATCTCAACTGCAGAGCCTCCCAATGATTGAACATTTCCTATATAAGTTTCAGCCTTGGCTGAATTTTATGTTGAAACCATTCTTCAGTTCTGAGGGAGTCATCTGTTTCTCTAATCTGTCATGCTACAACACAAGAGTGTGTGAGATATCTGAGGCCTTATGTAATCAAAGTTTGGTTCATTGTTCAACCCTCTCTTCCCAAGGTTTGAATAAAAATCTTAAAACCGTTGGCTGTAAGCTCAGTAATGTCTTGAGATTTTTTATTATTTATAAAGCTCATGCTTTTACAAGTTTGATCTGAAACTCGAAATCATCCTATTGAAAAACAAGTTTTTGCACCTTTGTATGCCATGATTTGATGCCATTTTGCCCTCTCATCCATCTTGCTTTCAATTGTTACTATTTTTCTAACCGTAAATAGAATATTGTTTCTTGAGCCTATAATTTGTTCAGAATTACAGAGGGCATCAAAGATATCAATATGCTTCCTTCCTTGCTAATGTTGTGTTGGTGAATGCTTTTGCTTGGTGAGTAGTAACTTTATTCCGCAGGCAGTGAAGATTCCTGCAATAACCATCAATTTGAGCAGTTTACTTTCCCTCTGATGATGGTAATTTTGGACAGAGACCTCTTGATGGGGAAATGCCATCATTGATGATGAAACCTTGGTGGTCATACGAGATAATGTTGCATAGGAAGAAGGGGGTGTGCCCTTTGCCCTTGCCAAACCATATGCTTGTGCTTTTGCATCTAGTTTCTTCACAAGACCCCACATTCCAGCCCTGACAGCCACTTTTACAAGTTCCTTTGGCATGCCTAAATCTTCCTGATGAAAGAGAAGCACCTCTGATGCTGTGTGCCCAACCTCTGAATCTACTGTGAGCAGTTAAAAATATGTTGATGTCTGGCCATGGCTGGTTGAAGTTGAACATAATCAAATGGGAAGTATGTACCTGCTCTTATACGCCAGCTTGAATAGTAGTTTTCTACCCGCTTCCGGTTCTTCTGTCTTGGTAAGTATGGATCTTCTGTGCCCTGTGCAGGGATGTTCTAGTTAACCATTTCATACCAAAGCCTCAAGTTTTTTTTGTTGGCAATATCAGTTTAGTTACATGCATTCTAGTTTTTTGTCAGAAAGAAAATTCTATTGCACCCACCTTTGCTAAACAGTAGTATGTGGATTCATGTTCCCAAATGCGGCGAATCATAACATATTCTCTTTCACTGGAAATTAGAGGTAACTGTGGCAGGTGTAATGTGTGAGTTCTTGTTAATATTAGTATATAGCAACTCTCTGATTCATGAAGAAAACTACACCTTTCTAATCCAATGAACGATCATTGTGCCAGTCTGAGGGTAAATTTGTAATGTCTTGAAGTAGATCAGCATGCCATCCCACTGTTTTCTATATTCATCATCCCAGAAGAAGTCCCTTAATACATCTGTCTCAATGTTATGAAATACTGTTCTGGTGCGATACTGAGTAGGACCTGTCTGTGTTTGCAAATTGAAGTAATACATAGAAACATTGGACATGGTGAATGGATATATAGTTGTGTTTATTTAACAGGGAAAAAATGCAGGTACCTGTGGATCCCTATACCAAGCTTGGTATTCCAAGGTTGGGGTGGAGCTCTTCATCATCAGCAGCCATTGAGGACCCCCATCTGTCTCATTAATGTGGGACATCAACTGCCTCAAATCATGCTCATTTAGTTCAGAGCTACCATATCCTCCATCAGGGAAGGATGAACTGCTATAGCGCAGCAGAACTTAGTGCATCTTAGCCTTTTTTGAGACAGAAATTTGCATGTGAATATGATGCCACATACCAATCAGAGGAAATTGCACCACCGAATGACCTGAAAGAAGACTTTCTCAAAGCAGGAACAAGGTGCCACTTCCATGACCATGGCCATCTCTTGGTAAGGGCTTGGTCTGTGAAGGCTGCAACCGCCACCACCAAGATAAGAATTACCACGAACGATAACAGTAGCAGTGTCATGGATCATTTGTTACCACTACTCTTCATGTGATGGCTATGTTTCTTTTGATTCTTTCATTTAATGTAGCAAAGAAGGTTGGCATGCTTCTCTCACGGAGAAGCAGCTAAGCAAGGTATCCCTTTTTAATTAACGTCAAAGACAAGGGAGAATACTGCATCGAGAGCTTTCATCAAATTTCCCTCATCCTCCACTGATTATTTGTTTGCTAATTTACCATTTATGTTAAAGAGCTGTTAGTTTTGAAACAGAAATGAATAAGTATTTATTAAAATTACATAGTTTTGGTGTTAAGGACTAAAATTTATCTTTGTTTATTTTTTTAATATATCAGAAAGTTAATTACTTGAAAATATAAAAATATAAAATTCTAATTTTAATCTGAAATTAAGGTTTGTTGAGTAAGTTATATATCTTGTTAATAGTGACTGACCAACAGTGTTCTCATGAAAGAAGTGCATAAAGTTACATGCAAAGAAGAAAAATAGAATAACTAATTTTGAACGGATTAGTAGACTATTAAAATTTTGGAATAGAATCACAATTCCCAGAGGTGGTTCAATTAGCTAAAATATCTGGTGGTACATGGTGCCTAAATATTGAGGGGAAAGACTGCCACTCCAACCTCAACTCTTCTATCTATTCTCAGTTAGAAAACAAAAATGATCTCATCATGAAAGTAAGCCAGGTTTAGCAGTCATAGGAGCACAAAATTCCTAATAGCTTAATGTTTCATGTTTAACCCAAATCCTCTGTTGCAATTTGCAAAGCCATTCACTAGGAGATTCAGACGAGCTTTGTCTAGCCATCCTATTCCTGTAAGAAAATGATGCAAAAGAAGAGTATTACAGAATGGATAAAGAAGAAAACCATGTAATCAGTAAGAACTAAACCCATTGTAAGTGTCAACAAGTCCTAAAAAATTATGGCAAAAGAAAAATGCCCTAAAAAATCAAGTTGAACATTAGATCGGGAAATATAATGCAGTGACCACCCAAATCAAATTTTAAAAGGCAATGACTAGACTTTAAACAACAAGCCCTGCGCATTATTCCAACCACTCTTTGCGTGCACATGGCATTGGCAAATAAGCATAAAAAAGATTATGTTCACAGTTTACACAGCATCGATTTCAAAACAATTTGATGCAACATTTCTCCTAAGAAGTTACATTATCATGCTCAGCCTTCTAGTGCACTCTGGTTGGATCAAATCAGAAAGTGATCGTTTCTAAGATAAAACCAGAAAATAAATTGAAGCATACTCTAGTTAAATACCACTTTAAGAACCTTTAACAAGAAAACATAAATCAGATGTTGCAGAATTTTATATATGGTTGTGAAAGTCCTCTAACTTTTTAAAATGAACTACTTGGCTTCCTAAGGTCTCCTCGAAATATATACTGTAAAAGGGCAAGTCCCCCTTCTTATTAGCTAACTCTCATGGTTGCTCAAGTGCATTAGAGAACTTTTGGATGCTTGACCAAGACTTTTGGTTTAACAAGGGTAACTCTCTTAGCTTAGAGGGAAAGATATGACAAGAGAGGGTTCTTCAACCTCATGGTAGAAAGCATAGAGTAATGGATGAGGAGAGATTGAAACTCACATAACACAGGATGGAAAAAAGGAAAAGAAAACTAGAAAACTACATAACAAGCATATTGTACCGCTTCCATAGGTGCCAGTTCATCATTCCTCAGTTCTTCCTTTTCCATTTCAGAGTTAGGTTCATTTTGACTATCAGATTCTTCATCTTTCTCCACACTTTCGGTACCACTATTGTGACCTGGGATTTTCAAATCTGCTGGAAGCTGACCTGTCTTCAATGCCTGTCCATATAAAACCAATTTGAAGTACAATGTTATTATTATGCAAAAATTTTCAAAGAAATATTAAAAGCAGTAATCCAATTAAATAAAAGAAAAAGAAAATGAAAGAAGCACCTTTTCAAGCCTTGCAACCTCTTCCAGTGTTTGGGAGTTCACAATGGCAGCCTGCATTCCAAATAAGCTTACCATCAGCATTTAGAGTCCAGATTCCATATTACCAACAAAACATTGTAATTACAATAAAACATGTCATCACCTAATATATATATATATATATATATTTCCGAGTTAAAAGCAGTTCTGACAACAAATATATTGCAGCAGTGTCAGGAATAGAAAGCCAAAGTACAAGGACATTAATCTAGTTGCCCTGGATTGGAGAAGGGAAGTCAATAATACTCCTAACATTAACCAATCATATTTTTTGAATTAAAATACCCTACCACATTATTTCCAAAAAAATCAAACTCAAATTGCAAATCAGACTCAAACATAGCACGCTTCCTAGAAAAGTATGAAACAGCTAGCAATTACCCCAAAGGCAAGACAGGAAAGTCCTATGTCTTGAATTTGACTTTCATGTTTCAAAGACTGAAACCAGTATTCCAGAAGATTTACATCATTAACTTCAAATTTCTGGTAGACAATTGCTTCTGCAATTGACAGGACACAAATGATATTTTCCTGAAATGTTCTTGCATCATATTCAAGGTATGATCTTATAGCATTTATTACCCTCATCTAACCAAGCAAACTTTCTTGCATTTTTACCTAAGAACCTCCATTATCATCAATTAATCTGAAAAAACTCTTTGGCAGGACATTAAATTACTGAGTGTCAACATTTTACAAAAATTTATATCATCAAGATTCAAAGACAAGGCATTTACAGGATTAAACCAGTAAACTTTTTAAAGTCCAAATTAATCCCAAGTCTTGGCATCAAACATGTAAGTTTGTTGTTTTGTGCAATGTTCCTTGCACTGTTACAACTTTCATCAGATGAAAAAAATGCATATATTAGAACTACGCATTGACTAAGGAAAAGAAGATTACAGACTGGTGTGTGCAAACACACATGGTTGTATGTATCTATGTATATACCATCACTGGCAGAACCAGGAATCAATTAAGGATAGGACCTTTTATTTTTCCAAAATTGAGTTTAAACTTTTTTCTGTTCTACAAAATTAAAAATAGTATCTTTAATATTACTTTCCCTAAAATCTTAAATTGAGCTTCTTTATTTTTTTATTTTTTAGAATCCATGGTAGGGCCTATGCCCAACCATTCTTATATCTGGTTCCACCATCATATTCTCCCAAAAAAAACTAAAAACAAGTTCATTCATCAACTGAGAGAAATTTTTTATGGAAGGTAATGTAGATCTTAAGAATGAGAAAAGTAATCATATTGAAGAAAAGAGAAAGGAGAAATTTGCTTTAATTTGAAGAGCAGGATAATTAAAAGAAATTACAATAATCTATATGAGATCTGAAAATTCTGGTTGGTCCTTAAAGATTCTAGTAATAAGTGTGTCAAAAACCAAGTTGAGATTCTTTGTTACGTATATGACCCAATGTCATAAATTAGAAATAATTATAGACTTTGGAAGAGTTTTGAATTTCAAGAGCACTGGAAGCACCATGTTTCCTAGTTTTCTGCTGTTCAAGTTCCAAAATTTAAGAGTTGATACCCTTGAGTTCAGGATTGGACCTCCACTAGATAATGATTGAGCTATGCATTTTGAAACAAATCTACCCATATTTCTAAAGCTTTTCTAGTGTACATAATGAATCTTGAGATGAAATCATGAAACTTTACAGGAAAAAAAAAAAAAAGAGAGAGAGAGAGATTCTGAACTTAAACCTGTTAAAATCTACTGAGACAAACACTCCCTCGGGCTAGTAACGGCCATTACTAGAATATGCTTTGATGCCATAAAGATAATACCTTGATAGCTATAATTTGCTCTGGAGTGGGGGCAACCACTTTTGGGGTCTGTTGTTCCTCAGCAACTTCTGCAACCTTTGGAACCTCTCCTGGTGTGAATGTCTTGACAGATTCTTTCTTAGCCTCCTCTTCAACTTCTTTAGATGAGAAAAGATTTTCTGCTTCTAGTCTCTCCTATAACCCATGGAACATGAATATCTGGAATGAGTGCGTATAATAGCTGCCAAGCAAATTTTTTTTGGGGGAGGGGGGCTGAGGTTGAAAAATAAGAAGGTTGACAAATAAGAATATAGAGTAGCCAAGCCTTATGTGCAAAACAATGCTCAAGCTATCATAATTAAATATCAAGATTATCCTTGTACAAATTTATATGCTATATAGGCAGCTGCCACATCTACATGCTCAAAGCAGAAAGCACCTGAAATTAAAATTATTTTAATATAGTCCAAACTCCAAGTTCTATTGGTTGTGGGTACTTTCTAAGATTCAAACTGACACAATGACACTTAATGAACCAATACAGACTACTAGAGAAGACAATTTTCTATATTCAAGACAAATCACAAATCCATAACCATTTCAGAAAGTCCATTTTTATCTTGCAATTATTAACCCCATAGAAACTTGAACAAATTATTCCCTCTGCAACTAAGATTTATAAACCAACAAGTTTCAAATTGCAGTTATCTCACCAGAAGAAATATTATAGTTGTTTTCCCAAGTTTCTTAACTAACTACAAAGACAGAGAGTAGACATCAAAAAAACCAAATTATAAAATGGATAAGTTGGAACCAACTCAACAGAAAAGCTTGGCAATGGTGTCCTTAAGTAGTAAACAAAAAATTAATACAAACAACTAAATGAAAGTTTAGCATGTACAATCACCTTTTCTTTCACTTTCTTGAAATCCAAAACACGAAGAGATTTTAGTTTGTGAATCACATAGAACCTATAATTAGGTTTTTTGGTGATATTATTATCCAACAGACTAAGGAACTGCAGCTTTGGCAGGGATGCAAGAGGGTCAATCTCAACCAAGTTGACAAGCCGATTGTTTGTGAGAACTAACGAATGTAATTTTGGCAAGAACTCTGCAGAACACAGCAATATCAATATTTAGTAGGTTTCCAAAGGGGAAGGAAACATAAAACATAAAACAATATGGAGATTTCTTGTTTTGCTAAGAAAATTTTTGCAAAAGTGAATCAAAGCATTTTGTAAACCTTACCTCCAATATTTGGATTGATTCGAGTAATTCGATTGTTATTGATAAGCAGAGTACCCAATCGGTTAAGATATGGAAAGTTTTCCAGCTTGACAATCTCATTGTCAGACAAGTCAATGGTATCAAATTGGTCCTGCCGACAAGCCAACATTAGATAACGGAGAATTTTAAGAAGAGAACTCTTAAGATAGCTCATACCATCATATAAAATTTTTGTTGTTATCATCCAAAACTGAGATTAATTAAGAACTAATGAAATTACTTTCAGAATCATCTCAGACCTAATATATATATACGTCTCAAATCTCAAATGCTACAGTAGGTAAGTAGACTATTTGAGTAGCTAACAGTGAGATGGAACTCACAAACTTGAAAACTTGATTCTAGGGTATCAAAAAATCTTCTGCAATGCTAAGCTGACTAACTTCAAAAGTAACCCAAAAAAACTATTCATGCATAGCATAGAGGAAATATTAATTCTGAATCTGCTCCTATATTTTAACAATATCATCTCAAATCCATAGAAATTAGAAAACCCACATTTAAGAGTCATGGAGCAGACTGCTTGACATTTTAACGGTGAATGTGAATCATTGTGCCAAATAACTGTAGTTTCTCAAGCAATCTACCACCTAGACTGCTTATACTTTTCACATGTATACAAGTCATTCTTAGGAGCACAGAATGTGAATCATTGGCTATAATTTCTCAAGCAATCTATTTGAATTTTTTAATCACATGTTAAGAAAAAAGAGCCATACATTTGCATTATCACAGTAACATAGAGAAACTTAAGTCCAAAAACTGCATAAACAAAGTGAAATGAAACCTCAAACACACCTCGGTAGCACCCAGGTTCTCGATTACGGCAATCTTGTTACCTGAAAGTGAAATTAAAAGGAAAATGAGATAAAAAGAAAGAATAGTAGTTGAAGTTGATGGTGCTGATAGGGAAAAAAAGATAAGTTGTTACCTCGAAGATCCAATTCTCGCTCCTTGAGGGCATTGAAGAAGTGAGGGATTTTCCAAATCAGGTCGGCAGTGAGTTTCACCATATCTTTGCCTTCTGAAACCAAACCCTAACCCTGTCTCAGCATAAACTTCTGGTTCTAGTAGATTTCCACTCTCCTCACCCAGCGCGGCTGTGGCCTTGAATTTGATTGCACCATACCGAGCACCTTGTTACCAAGGGTTTTAGTTCACGCGCCAAACACTTTGTTTCTTTTTTTGGCTAAAGATAAGTATTTTTTCATTTCCCCCTTATTTGCCCCGCCTCTAAAACCTTTAGAGAGTGTTTGGTATAATTCAAAATATTGCGAAATAGCAGGTTAAGTTATATTGGCTGAAGATTGGCGCACATCCAGTTTCATCATTCTGGTCATATATTCTTTAAAAATTTGATATCTCACAACTTGGTCTTTTAAAATGTGGAATAGCTTAAAGTCATGGTTATTCATACTGTATTGGTTTATTTATGTTTTCAAACATACTAATTTTATAACAGCTTAACAAAGATTATCTGTTTGGACAGTTTTATGAACTTACACTGTAGAGATTTTTAACTGTTTCAACACCTGTAAAATTCAAAGATGTTTCTTTGAGAGTGACACTCCAACACTCAAATTAGTAATACTCAATATTTGCTGGAATTTTTTTGTTTATTTCGCATGCTTTTGACTAATGGCAAGCCTGTCTGGTTGACCACGGGGAAGGGAAAGGCTAGATGAAGAATGGGGTCTATGAATCCTTCTCAACTCAAAGCTTTTTACATCCCAATCAATGTTTTCATGAATTTGACAATCAAACCCCAAGGACTCCATCTTACTCTCATGGAGGCGAGGATGAATGGGACTCTTGTTATGGCATCAAGATTTTCCAGTATCAAAGGAATTATTGTTGTCTAGTTCGGTGATTTTCCCAGTTTGAATGGAATTTGGACAAGCAACGGATAGGCAAACCTATAGAAAAAATTATACTTTATTAGGTAAATCGACGATGTGTGGTTGAGTGTGTAGATCTATAGGGTAAGTGTATAATTTCTCAAGTTTAGGATTTATAGGTAAAAATTTTTAGTATTTGGTATTTCTTAGTTTCAAAGTCTAGATAAACTTCACTTCCCCGAAAAAGGAAAAGGAATCAGATCTTAGTCTGATTTTTTTTTTGGCTAATTGAAATTACGGGAAAAAAAAAACCTTACCGGCACATGGCACGCTGAGGGCAATTTAACGCCAAAGTTACCCTGTAAATTTCGACATTTAGTGCATGAAATGACATGAATATCTTTACAACTTTTTTTGGAAAACTTTTATAATCAATTATATAATTTCTATAATTAATTATATTTATGCAATGATTAGAACAAAAGAGCGAGTAATTGATTCTTTGTTATATGAGACTTCGTTATAAAAAAATACAATCATATATTATTTTGTAATCAATTATGCTTTAGATTGTAATTAATTATATGTTGTTTTGTAACTAATTATACTTTACTTTATTGGCAGATTATATCTTACTTTGTAACTGATTATATTTTACTTAATAAGCAATTATTTTAGTTTTATAATTGACTATATTTTACTTTGTAACGGTTGATATATTTTCTTTAGTAATCAATTATATTTTACTTTATAATAATAACTTAAATTAAAAGAAAAATATAACTAACTATATTTTTTTAATATAATCTATTATAATTACTAAAAGAAATTTCTTAAAAGTAACCAAACGTAGGAATCTCACACAAACAATCTGCCCAACAACATAAAATGCCTTGTAAAATAATCTACTTAGAAACACGATTTACCTGGAAAAAGAATCCTACTCTAACCAAAAATGGAAATAACATGCCCTTATTTCCATTTTTGTTGAACTTGGTTTTTTGCAACTTGTGAATGCACGAATTAGCTTTACAAATTAACCGTGCAGTCCTGTTTGTCAACTCCAAGTTGACTGAGTTGGATTCACCTGAAATTTTGAGAGTGGATTTTGGATGGATATTTTGATGTTTAAATGACTAATATTTGGCTCGATTGTTTAAAATAGAAGAAAATAGAATATGGTCATGAATAATGTACATTCGGATCAATGGCTGAGAATATTTATATGCCTAAAAAGGTAATGTTCATGTGGCACTACAAGAAAACTCAGTATCACCGACCAAAAATCACCGACATGGAAAACATTAGTCGGTAAATGAATCACTTACTGACAAAAATCATGTCTGAACCATCAAAAACAGTAATATTGAAATTAATTTACATTATTCCCATTTTAGAGATATACTTCGTTGGTAAATTTAAAATTACACACCTATTTCTTGTCAATATTAATGTTGAATATCCACTCCCCAACCTCCGGCAGATTTTTCAGGCGAGTGAGACAGAGCTCACAGGCCGACTAGATCTTTGTCGGTAATGTTTAACTTCTCCAACAAAAATCTTGTCAGTAAGTTGGAGAGTTCTTGGTAATATAAACACTCAGTAGCTTTTAAGGGCCTTGGCAGGGAGTTCGGGCCTTTTAAAATACCGACGAATTTCTTGTTGGTGAGGGTGATATTCTGCAAGAAGAATCTCGTCGGTAAATTGCAAATTTCTATGTTATACCTGCTGCATCAGCTTTTAGGCGGAGTGAGCAGAAAGAGCTAATGCCGATGAAGTTCTTGTCGGTAAACTTGCTTCATACCGACTATACTTTCATCGGTAACCTCAGCAAATTGAGCTCCTCACACCTCGCCAGCTGATGCAGCCTTTTTCTCAATTTGTTGAGAAGATTCCCGCGCCTGTAAATGATGGGGCTGATCAAGCAGAACCTATGGTAAGTGTATTTTGTGTCGGCAAGTTTGACCTTTGCTCATCTCTATCCTACCGACCCCCCCCCCTGGCTTCTCATTTTCATCTTCCTCTTCGAACAGCGGTTTTCCTCTCTACTCCTTTCTTAACATTTTTCCTTTACTCTTTTGTTAACATTTTTTCTCTCATCACAGTGAGTAGATCGAGCAGTGGTAAGTGAGATTTCTGTGATATTACTCTTTTTATATGTTTTTGCATCAAATCTAAATGTTATGCATATTTTTTATTTTTTTAGAATTGAAACTACAAAATATTGTAACTAGTTCATTTAACATTAGCATTATAAGATTTATTGTTTTGAATAATATTTATATATATAGCTAGATGTTTGTTAATAATTTTTTAGTAATTTTTTGTTAAAATTATGGTAATTAATCGTGAAATTTCAATATTATAATAATTATTTAATATTTACACCGTCAAAATCTTCAACTTTGCATTAAATAACTCTATCATCTAATTTTTCTTTAAATTTTATTGCTTGATTTCTGTATTTGTATATAGAACTAGATTATTTATATAGAATAATGAGAAGCATCAATTTTATTTTACAAAATGACCATCTTAAGCCGAAATTGCTAAGAAGTAGGGACCAAATTAAAATTTTTTTTAGTTTAAGGATGAAATTGGGGTCCATGTAATAGTTGAGGGACTAAATTGAGAGTTTAACCATTTTTTAGTTTAAAATCAAATTGGAGCCCATG